GCCCTGGAACAGACGGCCTGGGGAGGTGGCTGAGTCGCCATAACTGGATGTGTTCAAGTGTCGTTTAGATGTGGTGTTGGGTGATGTGGTTTAGGGGTGACCTTGTAGTGTAGGGTCAGTGGTTGGACTCGATGATCCCAAGAGTCTTTTCCAACCTGAATTGCTCTAGGATTCTATGATTCTAAGGTTAGGATGGATGAGGCTATGAGCAACCTGATCTAGCTGCCCCTGCTCATTGCAGGGAACTCGAGGACCTTTAAAGGCCTCTTCCAACCCAAACCATTCTCTGATTCTCTTTGGTCAATGTTTTGGTTGGGAAATACTCGGTTTCCCAGCCCGCAGAGGCAGTGCCATGCTGGCAGGGCTCCCCTCGGTGTATAACCCATGCTGGCCGCCGCGATCAGCGCTTGCTGGATGGCGTGGCTCTTCTTGAACACTCCCTGCTGTTGTCCAGCCATGGTCCAGTCGCATTGGATCAAGAATTTCACCACCTCCAAGTGTCCTCTGAGGGCAGCGTGGACCAGAGCGCACTGACCGTTTTTGTCCAAATGATCCACCTTGAAAAGAGACAACAAAACGCAATTAAGTCCTATCGCGGGCAAAATGTCTTCATTTCTTCAGTTTCCAGCCCCGGTATCAAAATAATGCCTCATGCGCAAAAAGTGCATTTTTTTGGGCAAACCATCCCTTCTACAACCAGAGAACAACACTCCCAAAGTAACTCAGCCTCAGGCTTAGGCATCCTCTTGGCCACAAGTGTTTGCTTGGGCAGGTTACCATTATTTTTAGCTTTCTTCAGACTCACAAGGCTGCAAAAACCTTTTCCCCTTCGCATCCTAAAGTACAGCGACCGTGTTTTCTTGCGGATTGAAATCGTACACACTGGTACCACCTCCTTCATCCAAATCCACAGCAGGAAAAGCAGCTTGTTTGCCACACAGTGTTTTTTTCTGAGACACACAACACATCTCAGCCTGCAGCTGAAGGCACAATGTGAACCCAACGCAGGCAGAGGTCAAAAGGAAACGGCCACCGAGCTTGGTGGCCCAGCAGGAACTTATTTGGCCAGCTTTTCAGGACTGGACATGCTTTTCACTCCATGCCTGCAATACATCAAATGAGATTTCTAGGTCTTGCCCCAACACCAGTAACTTGCAGAAAACAGACCAGCTGTTGTCCTGCTGCCCGTTAACCCTGTCGGTGCTCTGCAACACATTAGTTCTCATTTCTCATATTAAAAAATGATAATTCATTATTATACTAATAAATTTATTAATCTTATGGTTATGTATTACATATGAGAAATATTTCTCATATTATAATACATTAATATTAATATACTTATGTTTCTCCTTTCTCCACCTAAGCAGCAGCCAGAATCAAAACATGCCTTCAAACTAAACCCAGCTGGTTTTGGGGTATTTCCTCAGTACTCATGGGAAGCCGTGAGCGGCAGGACTTTTGCATTGCATTGTGTAGCCCAAATATTCCGCTTCTCGGAGATGGAATGCTGTTTCTAACCAGCAACTGTCAGGGAGTCATTCAACTCTCTCAAAATATCCCAACAAAAGCACATTTATTTATTTTTTTCCTTCATCCTGTCTTCACATTATTACAGACAACATGGCAAGATCTAAAGGGGTCCCTCAGTCATCCCGACTGTCATAGCAAAACTGCACAAACCCCGTATTTAGCTTTCTGAACTGAAGCTAAACATAAAGAGAAACCGCAAATTGTTTCCAGGAGGCCCCACTTCAAAAATCAGCGCAATTTTCCTCTTCGACAAAATATTTAAACTCGACTCATTATATACAATTAAAACTCCAAACACTCACCACAAAGCTAAACAAAGATCTTTTTTTCTAGGGCAAGTCTGATAGAAGTTTTTTGGAGAATGTGACTCGAGGAGGTATTTAAAGAAGGCTCCATGCTGCAAACCCAATGTTGCCGTTTGAACCTCGGGAGGTTCAAGGACTTCTCCAGAATGTCCTTCAGCCGGCCGCTGGTGCGGTGTGACTTGGCACTTCCTACCTCAGACCCGATTTCCAGAACATTAATTACCAACTCCTGGGAGTTCACAGAATCACAGAACTGTATCAGCTGGAAGAGATCTAGAAGATCATCAAGCCCAGCCTCTGCCTCGGCCCTATCAACCAGCTACATGATCCCCCCCAACGCAACATCCACCCTCTTAAACCCCTCCAGGGACAGGGACTCAAGCCCCTCCCTGGGCAGCCTGTTCTGACAGATGACAACCCTTTCAGTAGAGAAATTCTTCCTACTATCCAATCCGAACCTCCCTTGGCACAATTTGGATCCATTTAAAGGCTGAGGGAGCTGGGGCTCTTTAGCTCGGAGAAGAGAAGGCTGAGGGGTGACCTCATTCATGTTTATAAATATGGGAAAGGGGAGTATCAGGGGGACTGAGCCAGGCTCTTCTCAGGGATGTCC